GGAATCTTATAGCTAATGCCTCTGAAAGCTTAATATGTTCTAGAACTCTTCCAGGCTTGACTGCTCTTCCACAATCCTATGAGGAAAGTACAGCAGGTCCTCAAATAACGTCATTTTGTTATAAGGTTGATTAGATGTCATAGGAACTTAACTCTTATTTTTAAAAAATTAAATTTATTGCGGTGACACTGGTTAATACAATAAGTTTCAAGTGTACAATTCTATAAAAATCACCTGTATACTGCACTGTGTGCTCTCCACCCAGTCTAGTCTCCTTTCGTCACCATATATTTGACCCCCTTTATGCTCCTCCACCTCCCCCACCCGCCCTTTCCCTCTGATAATCTTCATGTCTGTGCCTCTGAGTTTGTTTGTTCGTCTGTTGCTTTCTGCTTTATATCCCACATATGAGGGAAATCATATGGTGCTTGTTCTTTTCCATTTGACTTATTTCTCTCAGCATGATACTCTCAAGATCCATCCATAGGCACTTAACTCTCATTTATATCAATTGGCCTGTGGTAAAATTGGTTTCCTTATACATCATTCCACTTAAAGTCATGAAACCTATAAAAGACTTACTGTACCATTTCTCTCCTCATTTTACAGATGGGGGGAAAGAAGGCTTAGAGAATTTAAGCAGTTTCCCCAAAGTCACTGAGTTCTTAAAAAGTAGAGCTAGGTATCAGATACAGACGACTGCATCAGAGATCGTGCTCTTGTCCTTTCTGTTAGGTTGCTCAGGAATAAAACATCAGTCGCTGGAATCTCTCAATTCCTTGATCCTAATATCACTCCTCACACTGAAGAGAGACCTAGATTTCTATATTCGGAAGCCCACTCCCAGCCTATGTCTGGTGCAGGAAAAAAAAACAAAAAGCCTTTCACATCCGGGCTTTGAGAAAGCTCTGGGTGGTTCCGAGCCTCCACCTCAGAGTTGGTTCACAAAGCCCACTACACCTTCAGAGCGGGTAATGGAAGGAACAAACCTAGCATGTGTTGCGTGAGAGGGTGAGAAGGCCCACCCTCTGACCTAAATAGGTCTTTGTTACATCAGCCATACCACTGGGGTTGAAAAGAAACCCACACTATCACACCAATATTTCCAGTGAGGACCTAGAAGGTATGAAGTAAATGTAGAGTGTAGAGGGTTGTTTTTTTAATTTTCAAAAAATGTCCTTGGTCTATTATGAAAAGACAAAAGCCTAGGGGACCCCTCGTTAAATCTTTGCACTCCCACCTTGTCCTTGCCCCTGTTCTCTCCCAGCCAATGCCATTCTTCCCGCCCCCCTGAGGAACCCCCATACAGCCCTGACTTTAGCACACTCCACTCTGCTGCTCACTAAGGTCATTTAGTGGCTTAAAAATACCCAAGGTTCTCTCTCCTAATTTAAACTCCCATCTTCATCTACTCCATTCTCTTCTCAGCTTGGAATTAGAAAAAAAAAAAAGGTCTCCCATGAGGTAACACTTTTCTCTCACTAGATATTAAGGAATCGTAAGAAGAACATCCTGTACTGAGAGGAAGATTGGATATCCCCTAAGTCCCTTCCCATTAAAAGTTTATTATTAAACAGACCTATACTAAATAGGAAGTGACAAATTCCTTGCTCCTGAAAATCTGCACACCACTGCAGAAGTAGTTTGCTTGCTGCATCCCTGGTGGGACTTAAGATAGAGCTGGGATGTGGAAACCCTACTACTCAGCCTCCGGTCCCTTGACATATGGCTGGTCTGGGGAGAGGAAAAATCAAGAAGTCTTTGTGGAAACTTAGTCACCCACTTGTGGGAGAGGAAATAAAAGAAGGGGGAAATGAAATGAACAGAAAGCCTCTTCAAGACCACTCAACCCCTACATGTGTAATGGAAGGGGGCCTGGAATGGGGATGCATTGTGGCCACAAACCTCTTCCCCTGCAAGTGAACACAGTCAAAAGTCAGCCAACATTTATCTCCTTTCCCCTACCAGCTTCCTCCCTGGAATTGAACATTTAGTTTGCCAATCTCCAAAAGAAAATATAATAATAATAAGCTTTCTCCTTAGGCCATGATCTCCATCCCTAAATCTGACTTCATTTATTCAAAAGAAAAAAAAATTAAAAAAAAAAAAAATATATATATATATAGGCTTCACTTGGGTCAATAGTGCACACTACTGACCATTGAAAAATATAATATAAATGTAAACAATGTGCTTATATGAAGGAGCCATACTACAAAGTAAAGTGAGACCAAAAAAAATCATTGCTATCACCTCTAACCCCCAACCTGCCCCCCAAATTGCCAGCATCTCCACAGTTTCTATTTCCTTACCTATTCTAGCAACTGGCTACAAAGTAAGTGAGCCACCTCTTAATTGTGTTTTCTGTTTAATTAAAAAAGTATATGTGATGGTTTTCCTTCTAAAAATTCTTTCCCTTGCAAATATAAGTAAATTTAATTGACTTGGCACCTAAACATTTACAGAACTATCCCATCGCCAAATGTGGTTTAACAACTGATCAACTATTAGAATCACCCCATTTGTATTTCGAATACAATCCCTTTCTGCATTTTAGGAAAGAAGTTTTGTACTGAGGATATCAAATGAGCACAAGCTAGGGGCCAGGGGAGACAGAACTCTGCAGGTACAGAAATGCCAGCAAAATATGCCCGAACTTAAAGTCAAAAGACAGCTTTCTCATACATCAGCATCTTGGGCTTTCAGCACCAACATACTCTCAAAGGAGAAGAGTTTACTGGTTGGAATCATTTTAGAAAACTGGAAAAAAAAATACATAAACACAAGCCAATACTATAAAGTAATGCTCTGTAAAAAAAAAAAAAAGAAAAGAAAGAAAGGAGCATGCCTAGTCACATTTAAGGCCATACTTCTACAAAATTCAGCCAAATAACGGATATCAAGGGGCAGATTTTTCTTGACAATTGAAGTCAGGAAAATTTTCCTGCCTAGAATGATTCTGATTGGCAGATAGTTTCTGAGAGAGAACAGCTGAGGCCTGTGGTCATTTTATGTCAATAGCTAAATGATTTGGTCTCCTTTTCCCCCTCGTCCCCCCAACCCATTGTCTCTCCCTCTTTTTTTTTTTTTTTTTTTTTGGCCAATCCCTATGGCTACATCTCAACCTACTACCCAAAATATGCTCATGGCAGTGGCTTAAAGGGACAGAAATCACCACAAGAGAATGCATTCACTTAGATACATACCTTATGCAACTCATTGATTCGATCTGCCTATGGTGATTTTTTTCAAAAACACTTGTCAGCTTAAAATTATAAATGACTCAGACTGCTGGTATCTGTTTCATTTTGGCTATTAGGGTGGTTGGATGTCTAACGTAGGAAAGAAAAAGTGAAAAAATGTCCCAGAAATCAGCAGACCCTTGTTCATCTTTGACTTTAAAGACTAAAATTCACCTCTAAATGCATTCATTGGAGACAGTATCAACTGTTTATTCTATTCTTTGAAATAAAAGAGAAATCAAACATTTAAAAAAAAACACAGTATTACCCCATACAAAGTTAAATTATAAAGTCTGAGGCAGAGCATGCTTACTGTGGTCATAAACCATGTATAAATTTAGCAACAACTCATCATATTAAATGTCGTTACCTTTGACACTGGCATTTCCCAGTAGCATTACAGACAGCTAGCACTGGTTAAGGATGGCACAAGTAATCTAATCCATTAAAGCCCAAGTCCCAAACAAAACTGTACTTCTAAACAGCCTCAACAGAAGTAACATCTTTTGACACTCACTTTTAAGGAAACACGACAACATTTTAAAAGAAAGGAGTGTGCATCGAACATGATCAAAGGGTAAAGATAAGTTTCAATAACAAGTTAGGCAATTAATAATACATGCAAATATATACCTGGAAAAACCCTAAGGTAAGGTGCTCAAAGTTAAGAATGAAAAAGATTAATGTAATATGTTCAATATCCATCTTTAGGAGGAAGCACTAAAAATAAGCTTTAAAGAAAAAAACTATAAGCCAGCAAATTGATTCTTCTTAATATGTGTTTTAAAGTGGTATTTCCCATTCAAGACATGGGACTCAAAGCAAGTGGCTGGCTCCACCACCCTGTAGCCAAAAGCTACCAAACAACCAGTGTAAGACAGCCATGGCTTAAAGGTTTTCACAAAAATGTAGAAAATGAGCAGTTGATAGATAACCCAGCTACAAATAGCTTCCCAAATTCCTTCACCTCCATCTCTGCTTAGAGAATGGCCCTTCCCACCCCAAAAAGCGAGACAGAGAGAATGCATCACCCTGCTGGTATCACAAAATGTCCTTAGGTCATGGGGGACTTATACTGACTACTGAGGTGGCTACCAGCATTTCAAGCTTCAAAAAAAACACACAAAACCATTCACCAAAATTATTTCCCAGCATTAATTTGAACTATGGGAAGACATAGTTGTAGTGCCTTTTTTCACCAAAGAGGAAAAAATAAAAATAAACTGAACACTTTAAATTATTTAGAAACTTGATACCAATCTCATTTTCATGGTTTTCCCCCATAAAAACTTTACCAAATATAAAGTAATACTACATAAGCAACTAAACCTTTAAGAAACAAAACCAAGATTCAAAGTTGGGCCTTTTATATAGGCTCTTTCTTTTCCATTTCCTTTCTCAGCTGCCTGCCTTCTAATAAGGCAAACTTTTGGCACAACATAGAAGGTATCCAGATATTTGGAAGAATTAAACAAGGAAAGTCTAAATGAACAAATGCTGGCACTCAAAAATGAAGCAGTCTTTTAAAACCAAAGAGTCAACACAGAGGCTAAGTTATATAATGCTTTCTGATAAAGAAAGTTACCCTTTAAAAATGAGATACACACAGTTTTCAAGGATCATTAAGGTAGTCTTCCAAATTAGTGTCCTTCAGATCAAACTGAAACAGTAATTTCTAAATAAAACCGTTAGCGAACACGTCCCATATCACAGTTCTTTAAGTTTCATAGTTTAATCAGTACATCTACCATTACTTACTTGCTTCCTTCTGTAATGGGCAAACTGAGAGAGGCCCAGAATAGTTGCAAGAGCACCTCCTCCAGCAAGAATAGTCCCTTTCACTGCCTTCTTAAACGCCATTTCTTAGCCTAGAAAAAAAAAGGAAACGGAAACAAACAAGTTAATTAGGATTTTTATTGCATGAACAGTCCCAATAATAAAAAGGGACTGTGTAGGTTATAAAACTATGTTAAACTAATAAAGAAAACATAAAATAAGGAAGTTACTAACATGTCATTTTAATATTACCATTCAAAAACAATAAACAAAAAAAAACCTAGACATGGGAATTGACTACACAAAAGTTCCCTTCCAACAGGAATTAAAGAAAGAAATGCAAATTAAGGGACAATTGAGGATATTTAAACAGTATAAAGTCAAGAGAGCTGTGAAAAGAAATGTCATTGTGTATCTGACAAAACTGCACAGTGTCCTTGCAGATTTGTTCAGCCCTAATCCCCTCCACAAGAGCTGGGCGAAGTCTTCTGTCACTCACATGACAATGAACTTCATGCCTGCTTCAGGTTCTTTGGCAAGTGTTTCATTCACATTGTGCTACAAGTCCCTGAGCTTTCCCCTCCTAATGAAGTTCTCAACTAGAGCCCACAGCCCACACACTTACATTTCTATCCCTAAAAGGGTCTACACTTGACAAAGTCACTTGATCCTTTCACAAAGTGACAGTTTAACACTGCTGTAGCTCCTTTCATTAAAGAAACTTAAAAAAAAAAAAGTTATCTCTAGCCAGAATTGCATGACACCCCAATTTCAAGGGAAAACCCTCCAGAGCAAGCACTCCTTTGTGCTCACTGTCTATTTCTAAAGTCTTGTTAGATCTTGACTGTCTTTCTTCTCACTTTTTTTAAAATACATTTTTTTATTGATTTTTAGAGCGAGGGGAAGGGAGAGGGAGAGAGAGAGATAGAACCATCGATGACAAAGAAACATTTGATCAGCTGTCCCCTGCACGGCCCCCACCAGGGATGGAGCCTGCGACCCAGGCATGTGCCCTGACTGGGAATTGAGCCTGCAACCTCTTGGTGCATGGGTTAACACTCAACCACTAAGCCACACCTGCCGGGCTCTTCTCACCTTTTTAAAAGATATTTCTACTATTAGACTCAGGGAATTTTTTTAAGTTTTTTTTAAAGACTTAAATGTTCTTTACTTTTCATAAACAAACAAAAAAGCATAAAAATGAAAATTTCAACAAAAAAAACCTCTTGCCAGCTTTTATTCTGCTAAACAAAAATAATAATAACACTGTGTGATCACCTAAAACACATTCTAACCTAGAGTTCATATTACTTACTAAGGCTTTTAGTCACAACAGTAGCTGGCACACCCACATCTTTCAGGGAAGCCACTACCCTATTTTCCTGAATGGGCGGAGGTCTGATCTGTCTGGACAACAGACCTTTTACTCTACAGATATTTCACAACTCAAGAAAGTATTTAATATGAAGTCAGTTTTAACCTAGGAGAGTAAAGAACATATAGTATCTCAATGTAAATTATGATAGCTAAAATGTTTGGGTCCTAAAACAAAGAATTGCAGTGCAGTTGGTAACTATGATTCTACAGAAAATTTATTTTAGAATACGACAAATTAAATACTGAAATAAAAGTTGGCATTTCTTGAAAATTTATTTTTACTCTGATCGCATTCCTTCTGACAAACCCCTAAATTCTAAGACTCATCTTTATTATTAAGATCCTTACCAGGAAACTATTTCACATGCATACGTTCTCTTGCTACTGGAGGTCTCTTCTTGACTGTCTCCTCTGTTGGCCAGGGGCCTCTGCTCAGCATTCAGTCAACCATAAACAAAGCCTAACGTCCAAGGTTGCTCTGATAGTAAACACCACAACTTAGCCAATTTGGAAGACACCAACGTGGTACAGCTCAGCAGCACCATTCCCAGCACTGCTGTAAATGCTCACATGGGTGACTATGGCACGACAGAAACTCCAGCAGCCCAGGTGACGCAGGCTATCTCCACCCTAACTGGGTTCCCCTGACAGCTAAGGACAGACAATAGAGACCTAGTTCTATTTACCTAAACAACGTATCTGCCCTCCCCACACAGACAGCAGCCTGGTAGTCCCTTGGATGTGTTTTATAGCCATTGGCTTGACCTTGGTATCACTGCCTCTGTCTTGTTGATAATGTCATTTATGACCTCAGAAAGGGTACCAAACATCAACAAAGCCAACTGAAGGATGTCACATAATACAGTCAATGGAAACGTTTCAGCAAGTGTTCACCCAGTCAGTTAAGTTTGCAGGTAGTTTTTCCAGCTATCTAGGTTCCTGTATTCCTTGTTCACTTTATCATATTGCTTAAATTTCATTTGTCTGAAACCAAAACATGCTAAGGGGCATATTTTCATGGGGGTTTTCAATGAGCCACTAATACTAACAAAAACCAGCATTAATATTTTATTTTGGGAAGTTATCAATAATATTGACCATAATTAATAGTTTCTCTTTCAGTACTTCATAAAATAGCTTATACTTATTGGATCATTATTTCTATTGTGATCAAATTCATCCATAAGATCATCTAGGTAGTTGTAATTAATAAATCACTCTTACAGTTAATTCAAAAACAAAAGCACAAAAAACAACAACAGAGAACCAGTCCATTTGACCTGGCTCTCCCAAAATGATGACAACGACAATGATTAATATTACAATGACGATATTTACCATTTATTATTTGTTAATAAATTAAGTACTATGCTTTCCATCCTTTATATATATCAACTCACATTAACCTTACAACATCCTAATTTCATAAAAGAGGCAATAGGGGACTTGCCCAAGGTCACTCCCTTGAAAGTGACAAAACCACAACGTAGTCTATGCTTTCAAGCGCTGGGTAGTTCTGCCTTGCCTTTGTTCTCAAAAGGGAACTTCTCCCCAAGAGCCACACAATACTTTTCTGTTACTGCCAAAAGAAAGTCCTGTTCTCAAAATTCACCCAAAGTCTGCAGTCCCTTTGTATTAGGGTTTGGCTAAGACAGTGAAGAACCCTCTGACAAAATATTTACTAGTAACCTTCTGCTAGGTAATGTAGTAACTTTAATGCTGAGAGGTTTAATTTAACACTGAAAGAAACTAGATAAATATAAACCATATTCTGTGAACTACTTGTATCCACTTGCATTTCATTATATGGAGAAAAGTTTGTACAATGATTAGAAAGAGAAAAGATTGTTTCCTTCTAAGTAAAAGCTGCAACCAGTAATTGCACAAAGCGGAACAAGAATATTAATAAATCTTTACCTTTTGCAACTAAAACTGTGAGAAAACCGGAGGTAGAAGAGTCCCTCCCCCAAAATTAGCTTAGTTAGCATAGCCTGATGTCCATGTTTAATAGCCCATGAATTAAATCACAAACACATTGACTCAGGAGCGACTCCTGCATTTGTACAGACCAGCACCAGCCCTCTAACTCTTGTAAGGAGAACACCAGCCCAACCAAACAAAACCCTAAGTAAAAAGATAGTCAATTAAATATATTTGTGGGTGTATCAACTGCCCTCAAGGGGATTACAATCAATTTGGAGGATTAAATATCAAAGTCTGTCTTGTAGCTCTGCCTTATAACTAACTGTGCTATATTGAGTGTTATTAATACTCTGAGAGACAAAAGACATTCAATAGCCAAAGCAATCTTGAGAAAGAAGAACAAAGCTGAAAATAACACAATTCTTGATTTCAAACTATATTACATGGCTATAATAATCAAAACAGTATGGTATTGGCATAAAAACATTCACAGATCAATGAAACAAAAGAAAGAGTTCAAAAATAAATGCACACATATACTTAGTTTTTTACAAAGGAGCCAAGAATATTCCATTGAGAAAATATAGTCTCTTCAATAAATGGTGGTAGGAAAACTGGACAACCACATGTAAAAGACTGAAAGTGGACCACTATCTTACATCACTCACAAAAATTAACTCAAAATGGATTAAAGACTTAAACATAAAGCTTGAAACCATAAAACTTCTAGAAGGAAACAAAGAGTAGACTTATAATCAAGACAGGGGGACTGATGGAAGACAATGAAATAGTCCCCATGTGAGAGAACGAGAGCCTGGTTTAGGACTCTTCGAAAAGTGCAAATGCAGAGATTGATGCTTTGCAGAAATCTCTAATGCCAACACCAAATTAGAAACCATGGTAGGACCTGACAACTGATTACAGAAGGAAGCAGGAAGAGACTGAACACCACAAGGGGTTTTACCCTGGTAACTGGGGACTGGCTTCATTCAACATTACAGCATTAAGCTTTACAAAGTGAAACAGGTTTAACGGAGAAGAGCTTAGTTTGGAATTAAGAAAATTTGAGATCTTGACAGAACATCTACTTAGAGAAAACAGCAAACAGATGGCAGGTGGGTCTCAAATTCACAAGAGTAGTCAGAGGTAAAGGTATGGTTTGGGGAATCTTCTGCCTAGAGCTACAGACATAACTACTACACAATTAACATGTACTTGGGCAAACAAAAACTGGCTTTGCGGCTTCTCAAAGTCTGTTGACCCATGTTTTTATCTAACCCTGCAATTTACCTGGCTCACCTTAATTCTTAGCTGTCCTTTTTGGAGTCCCATTAAAAATAATAGTGGCTCCAACAATGAGAACAACCACTCAGATCCTATTTCAAATAGTTCTTGAATACTCATCCTTTCTGCCTCCTCCTATCCAGATGGAAGGCTACTCTCCCAGCTAAATCATGCATTTGAATGACTTAACCACACATTTCAGACTTCAAAACAAGAAATAACCACCCACTGAAAATGGCTGAGGGTCCCCTCAGCAACCACCCACAAGCAAATTTATTCCAGAACAAGAGCACACTTCCTGGCCCCTGATTCTTGAAATAGAGTCCACAAACTCCTCTCCTTATCCTGTAGTCCTAGCTTCTCTCTTAATTTAGTATAAATAAAAATCCATCCATATGGGTTTATCACTACTCTGTGAATATCCACTCAAGGCTTTCACCTTGACAAAAATTCTCCTATCCCTGAGCCTCTTGTGTAAAAATAGCAATTTCCTTTCCAATCTCCGTGC